GACCACAGTACATGGCTTTACAAATGGGTAAATGGAGGCCAGCTCCCATGAGGGGGTGACGGCCCAGCCAAGGCTCTTTCACTCCATCTGACTCTGGGCTCTTCTGTAGGTCACTCGGCGCTCACTGCGCACTGTCGGAGGACCCAGGACTCGGTCTGGGGCTCTGACTCCTTTTTGGTGCGGGAGGCCCCGGACCCGGGGCGGGCTGGCAGCGCTGGGAACTGAACTCGGGCTTCCAGGCGGCGGAGGAGAAAAAGAAATGCGGCCGGCAGCGAGTCATGCTTCTTGCTCTCTGGGTGACCCCGGCGCGCCTAGGTCCTTCGCTGCCGCTAGGATCCGGGGGGGGCGGGAGGGCCTGGAAGGGCCGTGCTCGGTCCTAGGCGAGCCCCGAAGTCGCCTTTCTGAGCGGACAAGAGCTCGGGCGGCCGCGACGCCCGGGGGTCCCCCTGCTTGGACTGGCAGCCGGGGTGGGAGCACCGAGGCGCACAGGGGCCGCCTCCATGTCTTACAAGGTTCCCCTCTAAGCTACCTGGGAAAATACCCAGCGAGCGGGCCGGCTGAAAGGGGGGTTAAACGGTGTCCATTGCGGCGCGGCCGGCAATTTGTCACGCTGTTAAAGTGATCGCATTCATTCGGCTCCATTCGAAAGAAATTGCTAATTCTAAATTCATTAGCCCTGGAAGAATGCTGTAGCAGTAAATTGTAGCTCAATGCGGAGGAGACTTGTTTAAAAGGGGCCGAGGAATTCCCCTTACAAAAAGGGGGGATTAGATGGTTGACATAGCGTGAATGGAAGTGGAATTAGTCTGCACGGTAAATTAAGAGAGGAACAGAAATCGTAAAGGGGGAAAAGGGGCGACGCGCAGAGATGCCAGCACCGGGGAAAGATATTGTTTGCGGGTTGATGAATGAGGAGTAAGAACTTGAGACATCTTAAAGAAAAGAAACTTTTCTCGCTCTTTCTCTCCCTCGCTCTCTCCGCGGCTTTCTCTCCCGCCTGCCCGCCCTCCGCCCCTTCCCCAGCCCCCGCTGCCTTTTAAAGTTCTTGGTTTAAGTGGGAACCTTCGCGGGTCAAGCCCAAGTTAACTAAATGAATTTAAAACCCCTTCTTTTTGAGTCAACTGCTATTACACGCCTAGTAAGGCTTTAAATGCCGGGAACCCGCCAGCTCAAAGGGCTGAGGGGCGGACAGAGAAGCGCGGGGGGCGGCGGGCCCGGCAGCCTGGACTCTGAGATCCCTTCTCTGAGCCGCTCCTGTTGCGGAGGTGCCCTCCGCCCCACCCAGGCTTGGCTGGTAGCTCCCTGGGTCGTCTTATGGGAAACTGAGTCACACGCAGCATCTGGAATGCCTAGGTTGGCGCGAGGGTCTGTGACGCCCCGTGTCCCCGCCAGGTCCCGCGCGTCGCGGGTCCAGGAATCAGGGGCCGCGGGGAGGAGGGGCCGCGACTGGCCTCGACGGTGCGACTCACCACCCGAGAAGGACTGCGCCAGGACCTCGGCGGTGAAGGCTGTCTTTGGGCTGGCGTGGTGGCTCTTGTCCTCGAAGAGCTGCTCGCCCAGCACGTTGCGCCAGCGGCCGTACAGGAAGCTGTGCAGGATGTCGGAGGTGATGACCTCTGCCAGCGCCAGCCCCGGCGCCTTCAGCCCTGTCTTGAGAACTAGGGCCTCAGCCGGGAGCACGGAGCCCATCATGGGCAGCCAGGGGCTCGCCGGCGCCGGGGACTGACGGCCGGGTCGAGGCGGGGATGTGGTGGGCAACGGTGAAGCAGAGGAGCGAGAGAAGAGGGCTGTGATGGAGGAGGAGAAGGAAGAGGAGCAGGGGGAGGACGAGGAAGATGATGACGAGGATGCAGGAGGAAGCGGGAGGCGAGGGGGTGGCTGGGAGAAAAGTGAACAAGGGGGAGAGAGGCTGAGAGGAAGAGAGAGATGGAGAAATCTGCAGAGATGGCAGAGGCAGCGCGGAGGGCTGCAGAGCCAGGGGTGGAGGCGGAGGCGGGTGCGGGGAGGGGGGGCGGTGCGGGGTGAGTGGGAAGCGGGTGGCTGCAGAGAAACTGTGGCGAGGGGCTCTCGGCCGCGCGCTAGCCTCTCCCACACCGGGCCGGGACGGTCTTCCCCCTGGCAAAATCTCAGCGCCTTTATAGGAGCCGCAGTGACCCTCCTAATTGGTTATTAATGACCCCCTGACGTCGGAGGACAGACTTGTACCCGGCCCAGCTCGAGGAGCCTTCCTCTCGAGAGCTCAGAGGGCGGGGGCGCTCGGGCCGCTCGGAACGGTCCCCCTGCGCTCCTCCCGCCCCTCTCTGGCCCTTCCACCGCCTCCTCTTCCTCCCCCTCTCCCCGTGGGAAGCGCCAGGCAGGGAGGGAGGCTCAGCCCCGGGCGAGGAGAGGAGGGGACGGAGCAGGGCAGGGGGCGCAGCGAGGCTCGAGGCTCGCTGGGACTCCAGGGACCAGACTAGGCGGGAGGGGACGGCTGGCCTCGGGCCGGCGCTCACCCACTGTCCCAGACCGGATCTGCGCTCAGTATCCCGGCCCGGCCCAGCCGGCTTTAACCTCCCCTTGCTCCCTGGCCCACTCGGCCGGCTGGATCCCGCCCCGGGCTCTGCCAGGTTCCACGCCCCAGGCTGCGGTAGTCTCCGCGGAGCCAGCAGGCCCCGCGCAGGCCGCGCTGAACTCCTGCGCAGAT